ATCTATCTATCTATCTATCTATCTATCTACATACATACATACATACATACATACATACATACATACATACATACATATACACGAATACATGTAGGGCCTCACCATGTTGGCTTTGAATTTTGATGAGTGGAAAATCTCATCCTTCTTCATCAATATATATAAAATCGCGTCGTGAATGGTCAGAAAAAATATGGAAGGCTTGATTTCCTCATCGAAAAATCCGCATCTCTGTAGCTTCTCCAGCAGACCATCTTTGGGGGAATAGATTTGGGGGGGAAGAAGGGGAAGGGAAAAGGTGGGAGAGAAAGAAACAGAATTACAAGCCTAGAAAATGATGCAGCTAATTCTTAAATGATGCAGCTAATTCAGTACAGATACCCTTTGACTTCCAGCCATTCATTCAACGGCCACTGGAATTTACCAACTGCACCAGAAAAAGGGACTTTATGACTGTTTTTCACACATACTGGCCGGATGCCTTTCCTGTCACCAATGTGGAGTTTTGTTCAGCAGATACATTCTTAACGTGAGAGAAATATCTGCGTCTAGCTAGGATCGAACTCACAGCCTCCTGATCGTGAGGCGAGAGCTCCACCTCTAGGCCACTGTACCACTCACATGGGCATCTCTAAGGAGATCACAAAGTCAATAAGAAAAAGCCTTACTGTGTGCGCCCACAATGTAGACTTCAACGTCAACCCGGATGAATTCTCTCAAAGTCTGTTAAAAAGAGGAATGGGTGATATTTAACTCTAGGCAGACGAAGGTGTATACAATAATTTAGATTATGATAATAATTTGGCATCATAACTATATAAATATGATAATAACAATAATAACTCACAATGCAATAACTCCAAGAGGTGACCACGCTCGCCACCTCCTGCACCTCACAAAAAATAAGACCTCCCCGAAAATAAGGCCAAGTGCTTATTTCATATATATGTATGTTTACACACACACACACGCACACGCACACATACACATACACATACACACACAGACAGACAGACACAGACAGACACACATGTAATCCCTTGCATTTGGGTAGAATCAGATCATTTACTGGCTGAATGCCCCTCCTGACGCCTATGGGGAGTTAGCAGCAAATATTTTCTCTTTGTGCCTAGAGAAAGAAATATCTGCCAAACTTACAGCCTGATTGTGAGGTGAGAGCTCCTCCACTAGCCCACCAGGCCGCTCCCTTGCCACAAAGTGTGTGTGTGTGTGTGTGTGTGTGTGTGTGTGTNCAGTGTCCCGGGGTGGTGGTGTCACATGATCCCCTTTTGCGACCTTTGACAATTGAAGTCAATCAGGAAGTCAGATTCACTTAACAACCATGTGATTAACTTAACACCCACAGTGTTTAACTTCACATCTGTGGCAAGAATGGTTGTAAAATGGGACAAACCTCATTTAATAACTGTCTGACTTAGCAACATGAATTTTGGGCTCAGTTGTTGGCTCAATTGTCAAGGACTACCTGTTACAAAAAAGGATTCCACTCAACCCAACCCAACTCAACCCAACCTAACGCAATGCAACCCAACCCAACTCAACTCAACCAAATTCAATGCAATGAAATGCAACACAATGCAACCCAACCCAATGTAACCCAAAGCAATGCAACCCAAACCAACTCATCCCAACCAAACCCAACCAAACCCAATGCAATGCAATGCAACCCAACGCAACCCAACCCAATGCAACCCAACATAACCCTATCTAATCCAGCCCAATGCAACCCAACCCAACCCAATGCAATGCAACCCAACTCAACCCAACCCAATGCAACCCAACCCAACTCATCCCAACCCAACTCATCCCAACCCAACACAACTCAATCCAACCCAACCCAACCCAACCAAATGCAATGCAACGCAACACAATGCAACACAACCCAACATACCCAACCCAATGCAACCCAACATAACCCTATCCAATCCAGCCCAATGCAACCCAACCCAACCCAATGCAACGCAACCCAACTCAACCCAACCCAATGCAACACAAACCAACTCATCCCAACCCAACCCAACTCAATCCAACCCAACCCAACCAAATGCAATGCAATGCAACACAACGCAACACAACCCAATGCAATGCAACTCAACATACCCAGCCCAATGCAACCCAACACAACCCTATCCAACCCAGACCAATGCAACCCAACCCAACCCAATGCAATGCAACCCAACTCAACCCAACCCAATGCAACCCAAACCAACCAACCAAATCCAATGCAATGCAACCCAACCCAATGTCACCCAAAGCAATGCAACCAACTCATCCCAACCCAACCCAACCCAACCCAACTCAACCCAACCAAATGCAATGCAATGCAATGCAATGCAACCCAACCCAACCCAATGCAATGTAACCCAACATAGCCCCATCCAATCCAGCCCAATGCAACCCAACCCAACCACTAGGCCCCAAAGTCGCTACCTTTTGCAGTGGTTCCAAGAGATATCCAATGGCTAAGATAGCAATCATGACAATGATAGCTGAGAGGAGTCCAGCAACCTGCAGGACAAAAAGCCTTGGTTAACACACTTCCTCTAAAACAACTTTGGGTAATTGATTTATCGCAAAAAAACCTTAAGTAACGAAATACCTGCGTCTTCCCGCCGGTGCTTTCTTGCACGCCAGACCTGGAGAGCGAAGTGCTTGCCGCAAATCCTTTGAACACCCCTCCAAAGATGTTGCTGATTCCAAAGGCAACCAATTCCTTTAAAACACACACACACACAAACACACACACTGCATGGTCATACAGATAGTTCCCGACTTGCAACAGTTCACTTAGTGACCGTTCCAGGTCACAGCGGCACTGAAAAAAGTGACTTGCGACCAGTTTCCCACCCCTGCCCACTTGTTAGTCCTCTTGTATCCCCCATCATATTCGAACCGGATGTTTTCGGAACTGCTGTCCTTGGAATGCAGTTGCATTCTTATTTAAAATGTCCTTAAAGTGTTGTCTCTGGCCAGCACAAGCTGCTCAGAGCAGGGGTGTCAAACTCAAGGCCCGCGGGCCGAATCTGGCCCATGGGNTAAAATAGTAAAGTAAAAAAGTAAAGAAAAGTAAAATAAAATAATAAAATATAATTAAAATAAAATAAAATAAAACAAAGTAAAATGAAATGAAATGAAATATTGGGCATATTTTTTCTGCTGCCATTTAAATAATTAAGGATTCTTACCGGAGTTTCTTGAAGTTCTCCTTTCTTTAACATCTTCTTCATTTTCCTTAGAGCTTTGTTGCGTTTCTGCAACACCCTCAACGGCTTAAAACCAACCTGAAATATGGAACAATTGTTTTTAGCAGATATTAGGTTTTTATTTTTTAAATCATCCTAGGATGTTCTAAGTTTCTTTTCAAGTGAAGAACATGGACTTGATTTAAATTAAATTCTAGTTATATATTTCATTGTGCTGGTAGTCCTCAACATTTCACCACAATTGAGCCCAAACGTTCTATCGTTAAGTGAGGCAGTTTTTAAGTGAGTTTTGCCCCATTGTACAACCTTTCTTGCCACCGTTGTTAAGTGAATCACCGCCCTTGTTAAGTTAATAACATGGTTGTTAAGTGAACCTCGCTTCCCCATTGACTTTGCTTGTCGGAAGGTCGTAAAAGGGGATCGTATGACAACCATCATAAATACGAGTCAGTGGCCAAGCATCTGAATTTAGATTGTGTGACCTTAGGGAGCAAGGGTCATAAGTGTGAAAAAGGTCATAAGACACTTTTTTCAGAGCTGTTGGAATGGTCTCTAAATGAATTATTGTAAGACGAGGACTCCCTGTATAACAATTTTAGATTTCTTTGACCTTTTGAATTTCTAACTTCAAACATTCACATAGAACATTTGTAATAGTTCTTAAGGAAAAAGAAAGTAGATTTTTTGGGGGGGACGTTGTACAAATGTTTGTGAGGTCTAAAAGATATTTACGTACATGGTTTAAAAATTGCACGTTTTATGGGGAATATTTTCATTAAAGATGATACGAAATGCTTACCGCAGCAGTCAACTTTTCCTTGAAAAAATCAACATTGGCAAAGAAGATCGGTGATGGGCATCTGAAAATTTTCACTCCTTCTGGCTCATATATCTAGACATTTAAAAAAAAATAACATGTTAATTTTAAGGCACTCAAAATTGCAAAAACTGTGCATGTTAAATTACTCCAATTATTTTTTTTAACGTTGTTTAATGACCCAGTAATTCCTTGCAGAGTGGCATTGGGGCAGCTGAATGGAGCTGAATGTTTGCTGGCCGGATGCTCTTCATGTCGCCATTGCGGAGTTTTGTTCGGCAGATATATTCTCATTGTGCCCAGAGAGAGAAATNAACAATTTTACCTCTCCGATGATCCTCATGGCTGAAACGTCAAGAAATGATACTGCTGAAAAATCAAGAATGACGCTATGAATGTCAATTCGTGGAACTTTGATGTTGGGAGGCAGGGTGGCGTTCCAGTCGATCCGAACCGGAAAATCCTTGGTATTGATGGGTTCATTCAATTCTTCAATCCTGTTGTTGTCCAGCTCTTCCTCCGAATCGGTCACACTAGTGACGGTACAGAGCAGACCTTTCTGAACGAAAGAAAAAAGAAAGGAGGAAAATGTTCAGAAGGCTTCGTAACCCCAAAAAAAGAAATCGGAACACTTGACCTGCCAGTTCTGAAATGGAAGGTAAGTTCTTTCCTTGGACATAAAGAGAAGGCATGTAATGCACTCTTCACGGGGCTGCCCTTCAAGAGCAGCCGGAAGTTCCAGATGGTGAAAGATGCGGTGGCCTGTATGGTTTTGTGTAGACCTCAGTGGGCACAGGTGGTATTCAGCTGGTTCTGACAGGTTCTGGACAAATTTTGACTAGTTCGGAGAACTGGCAAATACCACCTCTGATTGGCCCTGCCCCAGTGGTCGGTTTCGGATCCCATTCCAACCAGTACGGTTGGAACGGGCCCGGCAGCGTCCACATGGATGTGCGCAGTGCGGGCATGTGTCTTAGCCCCTCCGCGCCCCTCTGCCACCCTCCGCAATGCTCCAGCTGCTCAGCAGAGAGTTGTGCAGGCTCTGTACATGCCGTGCGTGGAAGTGCAGAAGCCTTAAAAGACCGGTAAGGAGCTCGGGCGGGTGGGCGGGCCCTCTGGAGCACCGTACTGGAATGGTATCCGGTGCTACGGGCTGGCTCCGGTACGCCCATACCGGGGCATACCGCCTGAAACCTACCATTGCCCTGCCCCCATCTATTCACTTCCTCCTGAGTCCCAGCGGATTGGAGTCCCTGCTGATTAGAGTCTGAGCCTTGGACCAGTGGGGAGGAGACAAGGGAGTGTGATCCTGATGTCAGCAGTGAGTTTTTCCTGGATGCCCAGCACCGAAGACCTAATAGGCGTCAGGAACAGTTGCCCAAGTACAGGAGGTAATTGCACTCAGCTGGTGGTAATTAGGCTCCTCTCCAGACTCTAAAAGGACTGCTTGTGCACACGCCCCTTTTGCAGGAGTCAACGCATGAATTAATGTTGGAGAACATTATTGTGAGCTTGGCAGGCTGGATTGCTGCCAAGGCTTATCTGTCCTGATTTGCTGCCAAGGTCCTGTCTGTCTGTTATTAAATGCCGTAAAGTATCTTTGGCTCGGAGTGTGTTGGTGTGGAATGACGGGGGTCAGAACAGCGAGGTAGGGAGGGAATGGAGATTTTGCAGTATTGTGGGCCGGGGGAACCCAGAGCGGGATGGTGCCCATTAAACAGCTCGTATGATGTCGCCAGGGCGGGGATGGGGAGTTATTTTATTATATTATTATATTAATTTATTCTATGATTTTTCCCTTTTATTGGTTTCCTTGTTTTTTATATGAGGTTTTTATATTCTTGCAAGCCGCCTTGAATCAGCATGTGAGAATAGGCAACACTATAAATTTCTAAAATAAACTAAAATAAACTAAAATAAACTAAAATAAACTAAAATAA